ACTTTTTAGATACAATCGCACAGGTGTGATCCATGATATAAATAACTGATAAGCAAGACTTCATTAAAATTAAAAACTTGTGTTCTTATGTACAAACTACGTACAGTGAACTCAAGCCTCAACAAATAAGAAAATTAAGAACCAGATTAATAAACCAAAGATTTTGACACTTGACCAAAGAAGATACATGGCAAATAAAATATGAAAAGATGTTCCACACCATATGTTATCAAGGAAATGCATATGAAAACAACAATAAGATGCCACAGCCCACCTATTAGAGTGGCCAAAATCCAGAACACGTTGGTAACACCAAATACTGGTGAAGATATCGAGCAATGAGAACTCTCATCCATTGCCCATGGGAATGCAAAATGGCACAGTAACTTTGGAAGACAGTTTGAAAGTTTCTTACAAAACTAAATGTATGTGCATGTTACCCACCATTTGCACACCTTACTTAGTATTTCCTGAAGTGAGTTGAAAACATTCAGCTACACAAAAACCTGTACATGGATGACTATAGCAACTTAATTCATAATAGCTAAAATGTACAAGCAACCAAGATGTCCCTCATAAGTGAATGAATAAACTGTGGTACATCCAGACAACAGCATTAAAAATAAATGAGCAGTCAAGTCACATAGAACTAAATATATATTACTAAGTGAAAGCAGCCACTATCAAAAGTCTGCATACTGTATTATTCCAAGTATAAGACATTGTAAAAAGGCAAACTATGGAGACAGTAAATTTATCAGTGGTTACCAGGGGGTGGGGAGAGAACATGATCAGGTGGCACACTTAAAATTTTTAAGACAGTGCAAATACTCTACAAAACCACAAAGTACATACATATCATTTATTACACACTGTTCAAACCTTTAGAGTACAATACCAAGAGTGAACTGTAAGGTGAACTATGCACTTTGGATGATTATGATGCACGGTGGTCCATGAATTGTAAAAAACATACCACTTTGGGTTCAGGATATTGATAATGGGGGAGCCTATGTATGTGAGTGGTCAGGGGGTATATGGGAACTCTCCAAATCTACCTTCAGTTTTGTAGTGAACCCAAAACTACTCTAAAAATGTTTAGTCATGAGTGACAGTGGCACTCTGAACATTGAGTGGTCCTACAAAGTCCTTCCCCAGAAACTACTTAGCTATGTTTGAAACTGTCTGGTTCCATTGAGGAAAAAACATGAATATTTATTTATAAAAATAGTATTGATATACTAATCAAGGTGATATTGCCTTGTTTTGTTTTTGTTTGATTATAAATCTGAATGGTAATATTCAAAATTTTAAAAAGGAGGAAAGTTCTTATAATGTATAATATAGTCAAACCTTGAAAACATGCTAAACACTAAAGGACAAATATTGTAAAAATGTCACTAAAATAGACAAATTTATAGAGTCACAAAGTGGAGTAGAAGCTACTAGGGCCTGGGGAATGGGAAGAGTGCAGTTACCACTTAATGGCTATGAAGGTATATATGGGTTGATGGAAAACTTTTGGAAATAGTGGTAATGGTTGCATAATATCACAAATGTAATTAAAATCACTAAATTGTACATTTAAAGATGGCAAATGTTTAGTATATATTTTAACATTTTATTTATTTTTTTAAAGATTTATTTATTTAGGCATACAAGAGCTGGGGTGCAGGCCAGAGGCGTGGGGGGTGACAGGATTCACCAGAGACAGAGTGGGGAACAGAACAGGCAGATCGACCAAAGTACACTGTCAAGGGGAGCAGCAGGTGAGTCAGGAGAGGTCCTCTGTGCCGTGTGGGTAGCTCCCGGGCCAGGATTGAACTCGTGCTGCAGTGGCTGTGGATAGCTTCATAAGTTGCATCTTAACCCCTTGTGCCACCAGGGAGGCTCTATTTTAACATTTTAAAAACAACTAACAATACACCAAAACTCCCTGAATTGTACATTTTAAATGGGTGGGTTGTATGGTTCATGATATATATCTCACAAAACAATAGCCAAACAACATCCTCCACTTCACTTTTCTCCTCATATAGAAATTATGCACCTTCACTGCTTGAAGCTTAAGACCAAGTTTTGTGTTAAGCACAGCAACTCAGCTGGCACACTGACATGCAAAAACACAATAGCTATCATCATCATTCTCATCAAATCAGAAGTTCCAGTTTCCTGTCAATATCATTCTGTGTCTTCCTCTGTCCCACCTCTTCATCTTTGTTAACTAAATTCATTCAGCTGACTCTTCTCCAGGTCCCTGGAAGACTCTAAACTTAGATAATGAAATTTTGAGGTCATAGTGTTAGCTCCAAAAACATGATACTATAGCCTCAGATTAAAATTTCACCCTCAGAGCAGAGAAGAGCTCGTGCTAAAGAATATAAATAAGGTAAAGTAGGGCTTCAGAGGCAGTGGAATGTCACAATCACCCAAAACTACCTTTAACCTATTTTTAGGGAGCACTTTTTAACCACAGAAAATCAATAGATTCACACTGCAACAAGGAAAGCCTCTTCAATAAATGGTGTTGAGAAAACTGGACTGCCACATGCAAATGAATGAAACTAGACTACTCTCTCACACCATACACAGACACTGACTCAAAATGGATAAAGACTTGAATGTTAAGATCAGAAACAATAAAATATATAGGGGAAAAAATAGGCAAAACACTCCATGACATAAAGGTCAGAAATATCTTTGAGGGTCCTCCCTGGTGGCACAAGGGGTCAAGACGTAGCCTATGAAGCTGTCCGCAGCCAATGCAGCACAGGTTTGATCCGCAGCCAGGGAGGTACCTAAATGGCACAGCAGACCTCTCCTGACTCGTCCGCTGCTCCCCTCAGCAGTGTATTTCAGTCGATCTGCCTGTTCTGTTCCCCACGCTCTCTCTGGTGAGTCCTTCCCCACCCACCTCTGACCAGTACCCCAGGTCTTGTATGCATGAATAATTAAATCTTTATAAAAACAAAAGAAGATGTGGCACATATAAATAATGGAACACTACTCAGCTATCAAAGAAGATAAACTCACGCTATTTGCGGCAACATGTATGGCTAGAAGGGATTATGCTAAGTGAAATAAGTCAGAAGGAAACAAATAAATATTGGATGGTTTCACTTATATGTGGAATATAGAGAAACTGAACAAAGGGTCAGGAAAAAGGTAAAACTTGCAAGCTGACCATAGATCTGAGGCATCCAGCAGGGGAGGGAAAGGGAGGGAGTTCAAAAGAGGGGAGGGAAGAGCATAGGGGATGCAGTGATGGATAACAGGTGCTGTGGTGGTGGAAGAACTACAGGGGCTACAGCTGAGGGCAGAAATCAAATACTGTACAAAAATGAACGATGTAAAAAAATAAATTGAATAAAAAATAAAAGTGAAAGCTATTTTAAAAAGAATAATAAAATAAAGAAAATCAATAGGCTCAGATTTGTTAACAGACACAGAAAAGAATTATTGCTGATTAACCTTTCATTCTGTGGGTATTCTGTGAAGATAAACATATAATGATTCTACATATTTCCCAGTAAAATTTTAGAAAACCATATCCTTAGATTACCAGAAGTTTGGCTTTAAAGTTAGGAAAAAGTGACTGCATAGAAGGATGGGAGACAGAACATTCCTAATAATACATAGCTATTCAACTTCTTTCATCTCAGAAAAAGACTAAGTCCTGGTTAAAGTACATTGGAGCCTCTTAGTCTACTAGAGTACTTAACTTGTCCAATTATTTGCTATAAAAAAATACAAAACCCAAATGCACACATTCTATCTCTGGTAATAAAGTTTGTGATGATGTAGTATGTAAAAACTGTGTTCCTTTGATGAGAGAGAAGTGTTATTACTAGAAGAATGAATTTGGCTTGTTTCTGCAATAAATCAAATTTTCTATAAGTCTATTAGTTCCTCTGTTCACAGTGCAAGTACTTTGTACTTGGATGTGATTTTAATAAATACTTCTTGAACATCAGTTTGCAATCATTTAGATTATTAAACTTTTCACCATAAGTGGACAATGAACAGTAAGAGGCAATATGTTAAAAGGTACAATGGCACTCTAAGAGAATATATACTTGCATATACAAGAATGCCCACTGGCTTCTCACTGTCTCCAGGATTGCTGGAAAGACTTACAGTATCAGAGTTTAACAGAAAATTCTGGAAGGCAGGCTGTATGGAGGGCTTGCCCCAATGGCCTATGTGTCACTCCTATGATCCTGGCCTTGGTATCCTCATTTTTAAAAGGTGACCTTAGTTTGTTTACTTAGGTTCTCCCTATCCCTAAAAGAGAACTGATGCCATTCTGTTGTTTTTCTTTGCAGAATTGGTTTTCAATAGTTTCCATGTTTTCTATACAATTCCTACCTAGTATTTCAACCAACAGTAAAAAAAAAAAGTAAGTTTTATAAGTTGGATATTATAAGTACTCAAAATATATAACATTGATGTTCCTATTTAACATGTAATATTCCAATGCCCTCATATTTATATTTAGAAAAGGAAAACTGACTTAACACATAGAATAACTTATTAACTCATATTTCAGCATATAACAAAAATAAAACTGTTGTAGGCATGTAAAAAGTAAACAAATTAATTAGATGCAAAGTTTGTAGTTTCTCAAATTGAATCCCTACTAAGTTTAACTGTTTGTCACCTTCTGTGTTACCAAGACTTCAAAATCATTTATTTTATTAAAATATGGAGGGTAGGAGGGTGATGGGGTTTGACCTATGAATTAACCAGGGAATGTCTGGACAAAGTTTTAAACTGTTATTTAACATGATTCAATTATATCAAGACTTTAAAAGCTATTTTGTAAAAAAACAAACAAAAAAAAAAACCCAAAAAACAAAACTGAACCTTATCTGAAAGACTATGAGACTTAAGAAACTTACAAATTCATGGCTGAGTGTTCAATAATACATTCCCAATAGAATGGTCTCAAAAAATGTCTATAACTAAAAACAGAATAGTAAAAATATTGAATGGCTTACTGTCTTGTTGGTGAGTTAGTGGAGGATTCCTTTTTTGAATCAGGAGAGCTTAGAGTTTGCAAAATACAATTATGTTTTTCAGTGGATAAGGCATCTTTTTCCTGCTCAGAGTGGATTAATTTTAAGGCCTCCATTCCATCTTCTCCCTCCATCTTGTCACCCGGATTTGGCTGTGGTTCTGGACTCTTGAAAATCAGATCATCTTCACTTAAAGAAACTGTGAGGTCACTACTGCTGCACAAACTTTCCTCCTCCTGCTCTTCCTGCATTTTTCTGAAGGGCTTCTGTGACTCTAGGTCCCCTTGAAGAGCATGATCTGTAAGATGGGATATGAATAAATTACTGATCAATAACTTTAGGAGGGGCGAGTTACGATGTTCCACTTCACAGAGCAGAAACTAACTCACCAGCTAAACAATGGAGAAACAATCTGAAGTCATTACAGAGTTTAAAAAAAGCATTACAATATTTAATAAATGCAACACAAGGTTTAAAAATCAGAGAATTCACTTGCAAAAATATCTGCATGTATATATTTAAAACCTATTAAATAGAATTTATTGGTAAAGTCACTACTTTGCTTTTTTGAGAAAGAGAAAATGAGAGAGTATATTTATTCTTACATAAGACCACAACCACCCAGAAAAACCAAATACTAACAAAAATCAGCAAACAATCTCAGCCTCTCACCATACCTGAGAAACCTTCCCAAGTAGAATGCTTCTCTTGAGAACACTTCTTTTCAGATGTACAGTAGTCTGTGACTGATATGGGAGAGACTGGCGGTCTGGCTCTTTCTTCCTTGACTTCTATATGTTCCTGTGTCAGTATTTCTCCCTCTGATCCCTCTGATCTGCTGGAACTGTCATGCTTTAAATCAGTGGTTCTGTTCTCTGGACTTAATCTTTCCAGTAACGGGGAATGGAGTTCAGCAGACTTTTTAACTTCAGATAAATTACTCCTGCCATGATGCGTTCTACTTCCTATCTCCAAGCAGTGAGTTTGTTCCTCCTCAGACAATACAGTGACTGTGACTGGCATTTTCTCACCAATCTGAAGAGTTGTCTTTCCATCTATTTTGTCAGACTTATTTAAGAACTGTGTGTCACTATTAGTTTGTACTACATAGCTGTCTGTCACATTACTGCTCGGGGCTGTCTGTTGGTGTGAATGTGGGTCAGGAATTGAAAAGTTCTTCGTGGGTTGGGGAGATTTCCGCTCTGTACTGAAATCTCCAATGCTTGAGACTGCTGACATTTGGCGGCCCATAAAGATTGTGGCTGGTTGATACAGTCCTCTTGACATGGCTGTCCCAGAGTTAATTTCTGCCTGCATTGCAACCTGCAGTACCAAAAGAGATGCGTGTATGTACAATTAGGTTCATCAGCTGTTCGTCAGAAATGCAATGAGGTAAAAGAAGCATGACCATTGAAATCAGTGCCGACCATGTTTTATTAAACTCAAGGCTTCTACAAAACAAGCAAAAAAAAAGTACAGCCCTATTTAGTTTTAATAACAATGTTGTTTATGAAGCAAATATTGTCAAAGAATTGTGGAGTCTATGTTTTTCAAAAAGAAAAGCATACATTGCACAACTATATGAATGAAGTCACCTAATTCTACTAGTTGCACACTGAAACATAGTCGAAATGGTAGATTTTATGTTACATATATTATAGCACAATTAAAAGGAAAAAGTAGTGAATGAGATGTTCATAGTAGGCTTTGAAAATAGCACATTTTCCGGGCGTTCTACTTCAGATTAGTGAGTTCTAACAACTTACAATAGAGAATTTTGTATTTGATGGAGCTAGGAAGGTACTCAAAAAAAGAGAGAGATTGAGATTCATACAAGGGACTATTAGAAGTTTCAAAACTTATTTTTAGTATTATGTATAATATAAAAAAATTCCAATAATTACATTTAGGATTGCATAAAAATATACTTCATATGTGTAAAATAATCTTAACTTCTGGTCAAATTACAAATAACAACAGCAGTTTTTCCTGAACATATTCAAGTAATTTTAAAGACATTTAAAACTATTTAAATTCATCAGCATGTCTATGTAGAGAAAAGTGAGGGATAAAAGGAAAGGGGAAAAGGGAAACAGAAGCAATTGGTTTATAGGCTTGATCAAGGGCATACAGTGGGAAGCAGAACCAGAACTAACAATATGAAGTCTTGAGGAAGATAAGTGTTTTTCTTCCAAAGGTACCAAAGCATGTCCATATACATCAGCATTCAGTGTGTAAGTCCTATATAGTAGATGTGGGAAGAAGTTCTTTCATCCATCCTTTGAAGATGGAAAAACTGATATCTAAATTTTAAGAGTGAAAATGCCATACATATGATTGAAACAATCCAGATCTAGTTTACCTTAAAATACATTAAGATATTTTTTTGAAAATAAAAGACAACTTTGAAGGTAAAAATAAATGATCAATGATGCCTGAGAAAATGGTGGAATAAGGACCTCTCAAACTCTCTGCTCTATAAAAAAAACTAATAACACTAGAAACCATCTTTAGAAGAATTTTTTTCTGAACTTTGGAAATTAATCAATGTCTTGTGACAATTTGGGAAGCATTTGTTCAAGAAAAATAACTGAATCTCTGTGTGAACAGTGCACTTTTTGTGTTTTAACTTGTTCTATTCCCATTTGTCCTCTCCTCGAGTCTGTAGTAACCTTGAAAACCAACATGTTATAATCACAACCTGTAAACCAGCAGACTAACAGTCAGAAAGGAGTAAAAAAGGGGATGAAATTCTTTCAAAGCCCCATTCCCAGAGAATGACCATTTTTTTGGCCTGCTTGGTATTTCCCTAGAAGACCACACTCATAAGACTGTCTTTATTTGATCTGACTTGGATCTTTTCTTCTGAGGACATTTGTTGAAAATAATTAGAGACAACTGTTTCTGGCTACATAAGTCAGTAGATAACTGCTGGGCAAACAATAGATTAGCCAAAAACAAACAAACAAAAAAATTTAAAAATAAAAGCTAGGGAATGAGATTTCCACAGGATGCTTTCAAAATCTATTGCTTTCAAAACCTTTTCCTGGAGATCTAGATGACCAAGTGTATGCCCAGGGTTGTGTGCATACTCAGCAAAAGTTCTGAGAAGAGCCAAAACTTTTACTTCAGGTTTGTTTAACCTTCAGGCTATTTGCAAGCAGAAAGAGAAGGCAAATGTGGAGTTATAAACTATTTGGATGAGTGTTGAAGGTGTGCTTAACATACATCCAAAGCCCCTTGGTAAAAAGATTGTGAGAATTAGTGGTTTCAGGTATAAAGAGAGTCCTATCTAATTATTCTTTTTTTTTTAATTTTTTTTTTAATAGAGGCATGTATTATTTATTTATTTATTTGATTGTTTTGTTTATACATGCACTGGGTACAGTCAGAAGCACGGGAGGGTGAGAGAATTCACCAGAGCCAGAGCGGGGAGCAGAGCAGGCAGAAGGACCGAAGTACACTGCTGAGGGGAGCAGCGGGCGGCAGGAGAGGTCTGTGCGCCATGTGGGACCCTCCTCCGGTGGCCGGGGAGCAGCCGCGGATTGAACCGGCGCCACAGAGGCCGCGGGCAGCTTCGCAACCCAGAGCTCAACCGCTGCGCCACGGGGGAGGCCCTCTAATTACTTCTTGATCATTAAAGTAGCTAACCAGAAATAAATTCTAGTGACCACATATGATAAAGTATATAGGTTTTACTAATTAGTTCAGGAAGTCACTAAATAAAAGTAACAACAAATTCTGGCAGGAGGATAATCTGATGCACAGAGTTGCCACACCTTCTTCTTTTAAAAGTTCAAATTTTAACAAAAACTTATGACACACAAAAAAGCAATCAAGATACTGTATTTACAATAAAATAGACAAACCCCTAGCCAGGCTCACAAGGGAAAAAAGGGAGAAAGCACAAATAAACAGGATCATAATGAAAGAGGAGAAATCACAACGGACACAGCAGAAATCAAAAGAATAATCAGTAACTACTATGAATAGTTATATGGAAACAAGTTCAACAATCTAGAGGAGATGGACAAATTCCTACAACTCTACAATCACCCAAAGCTAGATAAAGAAGAAATAGAACACCTAAACAGACCAATTACAAGCAGCGAAATTGAAATGGTAATCAAAAAACTCCCTAAAAACAAAAGCCCAGGACCTGATGGATTTACAAATGAATTCTACCAAACATTCAGAGACGAATTAGTGCCTATCCTTCACAAACTCTTCCAAAAAATTGAGAAGGAAGGGACAATACCAAACACGTTCTATGAAGCCAACATTACACTAATACCAAAACTGAACAAGGACAACACAAAAAAGAAAAACTACAGGCCAATCTCCCTAATGAACACTGATGCAAAAATCCTCAATAAAATTTTAGCTATCAGAATCCAACAATGTATCTATAAGAAAATTCACCACGACCAAGTAGGATTCATGCCAGGGACACAAGGATGGTTCAACATCCAAAAATCAATCAACGTTATCCAACACATCAACAAAAAGAAATATAAAAACATATGATAATATCAATAGATGCTGAGAAAGCTTTCGACAAAGTGAAACACCCATTCATGATAAAAGCCCTTGAAATTCTTGGGATGCAAGAAACATACCTCAACATCATAAAGGCCATATATGACAAGCCAACAGCCAGTATCATTCTCAATGGTGAAAAGCTGAAAGCAATTCCATTAAGATCTGGAACAAGACAAGGATGTCCACTCTCACCACTGCTCTTCAATATAATACTGGAAGTCCTAGCCAGAGCAATAAGACAAGAGAAAGACATACAAGGAATCCAAATAGGGAAAGAAGAAGTCAAACTATCACTATTTGCAGACGATATGATAATATACATAGAGAACCCCAAAAACTCCACAGAAAAACTAATTCCACTCATCAATCAGTTCAGTAAAGTGGCAGGATACAAAATCAACACGCAAAAGTCAGTAGCCTTCCTATACACAAACAATAAATCTGAAGAAGAAGAAATTTAAAAAAAATCCCTTTTATTATCAAAACAAAAAAAATCAAATATTTGGGAATAAATCTAACAAAAGAGGTAAAGGACCTATACAAAGAAAACTATAAAACACTGTTAAAAGAAATAGAAGAAGACACAAAGAAATGGAAAGACATCCCCTGCTCATGGATTGGAAGAATAAACATTATTAAAATGGCCATCCTACCAAAAGCAATATACAGATTCAATGCTATTCCAATCAAAATTTCAATGTCATTCTTCAAAGAAATAGAACAATTATTGATGCAATTCATATGGAATCACCAAAAACCCCAAAGAGCCAAAGCTCTCCTGAAAAACAAAAGAAGGGAATGGAGGCATCACACTCCCAGACTTCAAACTATACTACAAAGCCATAATCATCAAAACTGCATGGTATTGGAACAAGAACAGACACACAGACCAATGGAATCGAATAGAAAATCCAGAAATAAACCCACAGATTTATGGTCAACTAATCTTTGACAAAGGAGCAAAGACTATGCATTGGAGCAAAGAAAGTTTGTTCAATAAATGGTGCTGGGAAAACTGGGCCGCTACATGCAAAAGAATGAAGCTTGACTACTACCTCACGCCATACACAAAAATCAACTCAAAATGGATTAAAGAACTAGACATAAGACCTGAAACCATAAAATACATAGAAGGAAATATAGGCGAAACACTACGTGATATGCACACCAAAGACATCTTTACAGACACATCACCCAAAGCAGTGAGAGTGAAGGCAAAGATAAACAGCTGGGACTACATCAAATTAAAGAGCTTCTGCACAGCAAAAGAGACAATAACAAAAACAAAGAGAAACCCCACCAACTGGGAGAACATTTTTGCACACAACACTAATGATAAAGGACTGATCACAAAAATCTGCAAAGAGCTGATGAGACTCAACAACAACAAAGAAAATAATCCAGTCAAAAAATGGGCAGAAGAGCTAAAAAGAAATTTCTCTAAAGAGGAAATGCAAATGGCCAACAGGCATGTGAAAAAATGTTCAACATCACTTGTAATCAGGGCAATGCAAATCAAAACTACCATGAGATACCATCTTACACCAGTGAGAATGGCACATATTAAAAAAAACTAGCAACAACAAATGTTGGCGTGGTGTGGAGAAAAAGGAACTCTTCTGCACTGTTGGTGTGAGTGCAAACTGGTCCAACCACTACGGAGAGCTGTGTGGAGATTTCTGAACCTACTAAACATAGAGCTTCCATATGATCCAGCAATTCTACTCCTAAGTATTTACCCAAAGGACACAGAAACATCAATTCCAAAGAACACCTGCACC